CTCTCGCAGACGAGTTGGTGCTGGGGTGGGTGCGGGGGGGGGGGGGGGGGAAGGTAGACAGATCTTCCCCTTTTCAACCTTAAAAAGTAATCCATCAAACAAATGAGTTGTAAACATCCCCATGGGACACTTTTAATTTATCACCTCATATATTGGTGATATGCAGCAATATTTATGTAAACAAGTATTTATGCAAATAAATATTTACACACTACATAGAAATAGTTACAAATTAGCTAAGCCAATTACTCAGCAATGGCAGATGCCTCTGAAGAGGGAACTGCCCAAGGATACAATGAAGGTAGGTCTCTCTTCACATCTTCATATTGCGCCACTCTCCACCCTCTGCAACACCAAAGCTTGTTTTGTTGGCCAGAAGGCAGGTTTGTGTAAGACAGGTGCCACTTACTACTATGAGCAATGGTGATGACTGACCTCCTGTGAAGGCAACCGTCTTGGCCACAGCAGCGTAGCCTCAATGACCTCCAGTCAGGATGTGGCTCTTGGGCTCGATCTGAATTTCCTACTGCTGGGTGCTCTGGCCACTTGAAATCCAAAACCTTGCTATTGTGGGAATTTGTTTTCTACTGTGAAGAGCTTTTTCTCAGGGTGGGAGAAGTAGAGATGAAACAAACCTCCCAGCTTTGCAGGACAGTGCTTGCTACTCTATCTCCATTTTTCTGAATTAGAAATGGATTGGAGAAGGGCAGGAAAAACAATCAGGAACAAAGAAACATCCTCAGGTGTTAGAGTGAAAAGAATTAAGTTACTGAACTTGCAAATAAGGTCACAGAAACAAAGATTACAGGGGTGTCTGTGATTTTGCAAAGGGCAACGCAATGAAACTACTGCACAGTCTCAGTGGAACTTGAGTCAAGACTGCAGCACCTTTCCAGACTGGGCTTGTGCCCTCCCAGGACTGGCAAGAACATCTCCAGGTCCGAGTTCCTGCTTATGAAGTCCAGGAGGTGACTCTAAAGCAGTCCCAAAGACCTACCTGGAGATGCAAAAAAGGGGTAAGCACGCTGGCAAGCATAACTCGTCTGCCATTACTCATAAGGGACTGGTACTGGTCTCTGACACAGCGAACAACAGATTGGACCATCTACTCCAGACTGGCAGGTGCTACATTTCTGTAACAAAATTCTCAGCCTGGTCACGTTCTGCACACCAGCCTTTTATCAATTGTGACTTTTAGCAGTTCATAATAATCAATCAAAAGTCACAATCAATAATCAAAGTCACAATTTTATCAGTTGTGGCTTTTAGCAGTTCATAATAACACACAGCTTACTGCTGACCAATTACCCGTTACAACATCCTTCACTCTGATGTGCAAGAAAGATTTGGATTTGTGAAAGGCTATGTTTGCCATCCACTGAAAAAAAAAAATCATACTACTGACAAAAAATTAATTAATATTTCTTTCCCAAGACATAGATTCTGTTGAGAAAAAAACCGAACAAAAAATCTTTACTAGGAAGGGAGCAGACTGCTGGTGTATATTATCTACTGGTTGGGAAAATAAAAGAAAGATATAATAAGACTTCAGGGATTGGGACTTCCTTTTGTTTTGTCTGCACACATCCTGATATGATGGCACCTTGGTCTGCAACTAGAGGGGACAGAGAATACGATTCATTAAAAAAATAAATTCATTCTGCCTCTCAAGCCTAGCTTAATTACAGGCATTTGAAAAATACAAAGCTAGTTCAATACGAACAATTACCTATCCAGAACCAAGCGTTCCCAAAGACTGCCTCTCAGGTGTGCTTGTATTAAAATGTCCCCAGCTGAAACAAAACAAAACCCCACCCAAATAGTTTCACCCC